GAGCACTTGAGCACTGGATAGGGTCGATTCCGCATGGTACGGGAGCCCTCGATCGTCTCGCCCTCCCTCACTGGTGTGTTCATGGGGGGGGGTCATAACAAACACGGTGCAGGATCGAGGTGCACGCTGCCGAGGCAGTGTCGTCCCCCCTCTCCCCGACGGCGATGGCGGTGTGACCGATCGAGCTACAAGAGGAGCTTGTTCAGCAGGATCTGGGATAGTCTGGCGCACTACCTCACTGGGCCGGAGACCGCCGCGACAGCATCCCATCACCCCTCCGGGTTTGTGTGGGGTCGAACCACTCCGGGATGGGCAAGCCCATTGTCTTATTTCAGTTTCACTCTCTCACTATTCCTCGGTAGCATCACTCTCTCGCCATTCCTGCCCCAGTCCTGCCTCCGGTCGCGCTGCTCTGTGTGCGTTGCTCTCTTGGACTTGGTGTGTTGTGTTCATGGTAAGGCGCCTGAATCCTCGAGGATGAGGCAGCGGATCAGCAGGAGGCCCTTGTCCGCACCCTCCCGTGGGTCAACTTTTCATGCCATCACCGTGGCGTAGGGTTCCTGTGTTCGGTCAGGTTCGGCCGACCGTGCTATGCGCCGCACACCTCAGAGAGGAGCTCACTTGAAGTCCATGCAAAGAGGGAACGACCAGCTCATCAGAGGCTGGCTCGACTCCGAAAGTGATGCCAGTCGCGGGCGCCTCCTGCTCCGTCAAGGCGCGTTCGCACGCCCCTGGTGCCGTTCCTAATCGGGCCTTTTCGGCACTCTCTCACCCGTGTGGCCTCCGGACCGCCTCGCAGGTGGCACACCCGTCGAACCCAAAGACCCTGCGCTCGAAGAGCGGCGGGCGGCATCCCAGGGACGACGGCAAGGGTGAAGAAAAAAAGCTCGGCAGAACTCCTGCCAGAACCCCGCTGCTGTCTGTGGTGACCTCTCTGCTACCCTCTCTGCTACCCTCTCTGGCGCGCGTCACTGCCGCTTTCCGCAGCCACCTCCCCGCTGCCACCCTGAATTCGCGTCGCGATACAGCACCTCGTCTCAGCCAGTGATGAACTTCGCTTCATCCTACCACGTCGTGACGGGCGCCGGGCCGTGGGCACCTGCTCGTGCGAATTGCCGGTCTGCCCTTCCCTCTACGGCGGAACTTGCCCGGGAATTCTCTTCTTCACTCGACCGTGGCCCCCGCCCATTTGACTTGCGGGTTTCTTTGCTGTCCCAAAGGCGGTTTGGCTGAAATTCCTCAACTCCTTTTTGCCAGTATCCTGCCTCTATTGGCCCCCTTA